AATAGCAGCTCCGAAAGATAGCTTTTTTTCTTTTCTTTTCTTGAGGACAACCAAAAAGAGTCTTTTTTTCCTTTTTTTTTTTTTTTTAACTACTAGAGAAATATCACTAATACATACAGATATAAAAGCAGCATAGAAAGATACAGGTTTCTCACCAACTAGGAATAAAGAGACTAAATGTGGGCATATGGTTAAACTACAATGCATCTTCACATTTGTCCAACACATTTACAAGAAAAACACCATTGGGAAACCTCACAGGACAGAAGTGTTTTAACACCAAGAGAACTACTAGTTTTTAATTAAAAATCCAAACAGGGTGGGGTTGAAAAATTTTGGAAAGGGGCTGGAGCTGAAGCCACCATTTTTAAAATTATTATTTTTTTCAATATAAAATGAATGAGTTGGAATAGACCCAATGTCTTACTCTGTGGAACCTTGCAAAAGTGAAGAAACGATGAAGGGTTATTTAGGGCAGCTGGCTGATGTCAAAACTGCCAGAATGCTAATTAACTGCAGGCTGAGTCTCTTACTTTTGTGTGTGTGTGTGTGTGTGTATACATATATATATGTGTGTGTTTGTGTGTGTGTGTGTGTGTATATATATATATGGAGCCTTATGTATTATGGCATTTTTTTTCTTGCTGCTGTATTCATACATCCCACTGCAAATCATCTTTCATTTTTCATTCTGTTGACCTGGATATTATTTCTTTTCAGAAACAGGAAAAAAACCGAACATCTGTGTCTCCTTCCAATCTGCTGCACATCTGCGCGTTTTGTAGCGGGTCTTCAAAGTTCAGTTAGCAACCCACGGACGCCATTCATCTTCTTGTTAAAATGTCTACCGCTGTATCCAATGCTCATGCCCTTGAGGGTTTTCCTCTTTTTTTTTTTTCCATTATTGTATATAAAGAACATTGTGACTTTTAATATTAGCATTTTTGCTTTCAACAGCAATTAGCAATCTCTTGGTTTGCTGTTTGGTAAAGCATCGGTTAATGAGGTCATCTAGTTTAAAATCCCAGCTACTTGAAAATAACAGGGAGGAGGTCAAATCTATCATTTCATGTTATATTCTCTGCTCTCTTTTCAGTTCTCTAAAGAAAAGATATCTTTGTTATCCACAATAAGTCATTACGACCCGTTACTGGCCCTCTGTGTTTTACTACCACCTCAAGATACAGTTAGGTTCTCTCTTGCTGAAGTACTGAAATAGGATAATTCATCTAATAAACAAACAAACAAAAAAAAACAACTTTGAGCATCTGAGGATGAGGAATTGGTTTTGCGTTGGTTGTCTTTCCTCCGACAGTTCTGAGTTCACGTCTAGCGAGGGGTTGTCTCTATGGTGGAAGGGGTTCCCGGGGTGGTTGACCTCGGAGTGGCTGCTGGTGGTGTGTCCATCGGGCTCCCAGCCCCGCTGTTGGGCGTGACGGAGGAGCTGACTGCAGGTGTGTCTCCCTGCTGCTGGGCCTGCAGGGTCTGTCCACAGATGTGATGGTGCTTCTCCCAGTCTTTGTGCTGGCAAAATGAGCCACAGTATCGGGCTGTGTTACAGCCACTGCAGGTTTCACTCGCTTTACGGCCACAATTCCAGCAACTCTAAAGGAGAAGGCAGAAGACAGCAAGATCCCAAATTAATACACTTTATGACAATAGTCTGACAAATTTGTTAGGCATCACTGTAGCCTTCTTTTCATGAACTATACAGTCAGGATGAAAAATTCAGGTGTTTACATATGGATACACACAATAAACACAGAAAATGCAGGTTTTGGTGGGATGGTTGTCCAAACTGTTCTGCCAACAACTACTATGGCATCTAACAAAGTAGTTGAAGACTTTTTAAGTTCTTACTATAACATCCTTTCTTTTTAGGTTTGGTGATCTTTATATGTAAATTCTCCTTTCACTCATACTGACTAGCAATTACTATTTCCAATTTTTTTCCCAATACCTATACCACAATTGTCAGACACACAGATATATCTGAGCAGAAACTTCTTCCTTTTGGATACTAAAAGGAATCACAAAGAAACTACCAGAACCATATCTATATTGGATTCAAAGAAATATAGTAAGAGTAGATAAAGGATTCTATTCCCTGCTCCTTCAGACTAGACAGGGTGAGGCAAGTCCTTTAACCTCTCTATGCCTTTAGTTCTTTCACTGCAGCTATTCGGTGAACCTTACAACCAAATGCTAGGACTGTGCTGAAACAAACCCCTTTACCTCAGCTCCCTGGAGGACAGGATCCTTGGTTTGTTTTTTCTCCCTGTATCTGAAGCACCCAGAATGGTGCCTGATAGATAGTAAGTGTTCAATAAGTATTTGTGAAATGAATGAATTAGACTATGCCTCATTTGGCCTTCAGAAATGAGAAATGCTAAAACTAGCCAAATAACAATTCTATTTGCACACAGTTCTTTACAGCCAATGGAGCTGCTCTCCTGCTCCTTTGTGCCTCAACAACTCTTGGAAGTCAGAAAAGCAGAGGGAACTGGGGCTCATCTGGGAGTGATGAGAACAAAACTCAACCCCTAGCAAGTTTGCTGCCAGTTGTGGGCAGTGTTTTGTAAGACATGAGAAAAGTGGGAATGAGGCTGCCAACAGGATTTAAACTTTAAGATAAATGCATCAGGAATTAGAGCACAAACATACCAGAGACAGAAGAGCACCTTTTGGGGATAGGTCCTAGGCAGGCAAGGAGGAATGAGGAGGAAACTAACTTTCAGGGGTCCTCCTATGAGTGTGGTGGGGAGGGAGACCTCAGAAAGCTGACTTTAAATGTTTAAATGTTCCTAGTTTCTTTGGCAAGACAAACCCCATTATGCAAAGCTATACTAAGTGATTTTAGCTTTATGCCCTTCAACTTTTTATTCTTTATCTTCATTGGTTTTGATTATGTCCTTGAAAAACAAACTTCTGACTACAATCTGGTAACCCCAAACAGCTGATGCTATATGCTTGTATGATAAGAAAGATTTTTAAAGCCTTGACATAAGTAGATATTCACAGGTTTCCCTACTGTGTTCTCTACATTTGCTTTGCTTCTAGCATGCTGGTTGGGTGGCTTAAGGCAAGCTCATGAGCTGCTGACAATACTATACTCCTAGGAAATGTCAGCCCATCACCCTGTGTATGGCTTTACCACTGTGCAAAATGTGCAAGGGAATTTTTAGCAGCCATCCTAACATTGTTAACAAATCAACGGGCTCCCAGAGCCTTTCATGTGCTGAAAACCTTCAAACTCAAGAACTCCAATATAAAACTTTTAGAAAGAACCCAGCTCCATGTTCTTATTTCTTTTTTTTTTTTTTTTGAGACAGAGTCTCGCTCTGTCACCCAGGCTGGAGTGCAGTGGCTGGATCTCAGCTCACTGCAAGCTCCGTCTCCCAAGTTTACGCCATTCTCCTGCCTCAGCCTCCCGAGTAGCTGGGACTACAGGCGCCCGCCACCTCGCCCGGCTAGTTTTTTTGTGTTTTTTAGTAGAGACGAGGTTTCACCCTGTTAGCCAGGATGGTCTCGATCTCCTGACCTCGTGATCCGCCCGTCTTGGCCTCCCAAAGTGCTGGGATTACTATGTTGAGCAGAAAAGCTCAAACAAAAAAATAGAAATAAAAAAGAAAAGAAATTACAATCCAACAAGGAAAAACAAAACAAAAACTTAAAATCTCAAACTCTGGCCAATGATAGGTGTTTTAAGTGAACATTGCTGAGGAAATCTAGAAACTTGGTTGATATGTCAAAAAATGTTGTAAATTAAAATAAAATTTAAGTGAATAGTCAGTAGTAGAAGAAAATAATTTTTTCCTACTTCAATTAAGAAACTATCTCAAAAGATGAGAAGCTCTGATCAGAAGTTTCATTACCATAACTAGAAGTCTTTCTCTCTCAAAATTAATTCAACTGCATTGCATGCATGTACAATGGTTTCACAAAGATATGAGCAAATGTGGGCCTGGCCCACCCTTCAAAGCCGCGAGGTATAATACTCAGTGCTCAGAGTGAAGTTAACTTCCTTGAGGTTTAGGCTTTAGAATAATGCCAGCTGGATCCTGGAACAAGCTCAGCAAATAAGCGATATTCCTAAATTACATCAGAATATTCCAATTAGAGAACAGAGACTCACATCCAAAACAATATTTTAAGGAAATTAAACATCTAATCTGAGTCAAGTGGCTTCTTTAGGAAATACCCTGGTGTGAGTCCTATCCGTTTTTTGGCAGAGGCCCGTTTTGGCAGACACAGGGTGGTAACTGTCCAATACTCAATGGCTCCTTCAGATTGAAATCAGATGTCTGCAACATTCTCAATTTAAACTGATTAAACACACAGACTAAACCAGGTAATTACAGATGCATGTGCTGGGAAGTGGAAAGGGAGACAGAATGGGGGCTTCTTTATTTTTTAAAGTGTTTTCAAAGATGGGAACAATTTTACAAATAAAAAAGTGGAATTGTGCCAAATACAGAAACAGATGTTTTGGATCATGAAGCTGCTGGGAATTGAGCCTTCTTGCCTAGTATTGTCTGGTTCTGATCCAGGAGTTAAGGGGTCTGGCTAGTTTTACCTCTAGTTTCATTCTGAAGTTGTTTGATACTATTCATTTACCACCCACCACTGGGACAAAAAAAAAAAAAAAAAACAACCTTCAGTTGTAGGAAGTTACAAAAAGAGCAATTTTAATGATCTGGTTAAAAAAAATCTGCAAATTTTTATTTCTCTTGACACTGCATTGCCGTGAATGTACAGGGGACTTTAGTGAGTGTTCAACTAACAAACGCTCCAATGTGCATATTCATTCTTAAAAGCTCATTAGAAAACTGAAAGAGCAATTTCTATTAATATATTTCTCTTGGATGCTCTAGAATTTCCTGTTGGCTAATCCATACCTGCGAGACTGATGCCTGATCAGTGGTACTCAGCCCCTAAACAGTCACAATTCTGGAAACAGCGGAAGGTACAGAATCTTGTGAGTACTCCAATTTGGATCATTCTAAGCTTTCTACTGTTCACAAAGGTGGACATTGCAAATTGTGTCTAACAGCCACACGTCTATCCACAAGGGCTGGGATAAAGGCAGTTAATGGCTTAATCTAATTTTACATTTTTCAATTTGTGCATTTTATATTCAAGATAGTATTTCCTGATAATTGTTTTATTTATTTATTTTATTTTTAAATGACTGAGCTTCCCTTTCAGGCCTCTAAGGAGTGATGTGACTGAAATTACCACAATACTGTAGAAAGCTCACAGATATCCATTTCATAGCAAATTTCATTCCCAAAGCTCATGGCACTTTATAGTCTTCCCTTATTTGTGATAATGTTATTCCCTTTGTGGCATAAAAATATCTTCCTCCTTATCTGAAAAATAAGAATAAGTCAATTGACCAAAGTTAGGTTGTGACTCAGATGAAGAATTTGTGGCTGAACACGAACATCCCCTTTGCTAAATATATTAAATACAAGGCTAGATACAGAACCAATGGATTGAAGCTTTTGAATGCCAACACTGCATATTGAAGGTGTTTGACACTTTGTTTCAAACCAGCATTTCTCTTTGTCCTTAAGAAAAATATTTAGATATTTGTATAAGCATATATACATGTATATATAGGGAATATAATATTTGTATAATATTTGTATATTATATTATATAATATTTGTATATAATATTTGTATAATATTTGTATAAGCATATATCCCTTCTGGTTCTTACTGCAGAAAAATCTTTCTCTGAAGGACAAAATATCTTTTATTTTGTCTCTGAACTGCTTTAAGTCTCTCCAGATCTTACATATCTATAATTCTCCAGAAAAACTTGCACAGAATTGATGTGTAATAAATTTAAATATAATAGAATGATGGTAACTGAAACTCCTCAAATGTTAAGAATCCTACAGAAGGCAACACATTGACTTAAATTCACATTAAGATCACATCATCATCTACTTGCATTGCACTTGACAATTTAAAATCATTTTCACATGATTGCAGTTTCAGAAATTGGGGCCCTCAAAATAAATAATTTTCACAGTAAAAGGCTTGCCCCAAGTCACCAAAATATAAAATTACATAGCCAAAGTTTGATTCACCCAGATGTTTGGATTACAAATTAAAAATACTCTTTCCAAAATGCCACACTTTGTCAATTTCAGATCTTTTATTAGCTCTCATTGTGGCAGGAACAGGTTAGCAGGCACTTAACTCCCAAAAATGGTCAGAAATTGAACCATAAAGTTAAGAGGCAGCAAAGACGAGGTGTCAGAGTGTGTAATGAAAATGGCACAGGCTTCAAAAGCCAGGCCAACTTCATTTCCAACTTCATCACTTCGTGGCTTTGGAACCAGAAGCCAGTTACTTAACCACTTGGAGCAACAGAACATGTAAAGCAGGAATAATAACCTCAGGATTATTCAGGATTATGTCAGTGCTAAGCACAGTGCATGATGTTCAGTGGGTCCTGAATAAATGGCAGGTACTAACACCACTCCCTCCTTTTGGTACTGACTGGAAGAAAGAGTAGATACAATCCTTGCTCCAGATCCAGTACCTTACAACTTTTAGAATTAGAAAGCTCAAAGTCCCATTCAAATT